GGCTCAAGATAGGCCAGGCCTTCCACAAGGTCAAGAACGTGGTTATTGCGACTACATGGAGTCATGGAGGTAAGATTCTGAAACTCTTAGTAACTCTCAATGTGGAAGAATCTATCCCTCGTATGGCTAAGGTGAGGCTTGGAAATCAGTTAGTGACAGTTGGCTTCAAGTACGAGAAACTCATCAACCTCTGTCACTATTGCGGAAAAATTGGTCACTTAGATAGAGCATGCCAATTAAAAATGGATGATATTCGAAATAATTCTCTCCAAGAAGAGCAGTATGGTGATTGGTCAAGAGCTCCTGATGGTGTTAAAGGGAATCCTTCCAGTTTTTCAGGCTCTAGATCAACCCCACCTCCAGAATCTCCATCACCCTCAGATAACAATATATCCCAAAAAGCTTCTTCTAGTCAAGGGCATGCTAATAATCAAATAATCCCCAGCACTGGAATTAATGAGTCGCCAGCTCGGTCAATGGGTGCACCTTCTGTAGTCTCAGCTACTGGTAATGCTGCAGAGATGGGGGACCTAGAAGAAGCTAATTTGCAAATTGTGGATGCTAACCCCATGGATCTTGAAAAAGGAGAGTTAACTCCAATCTCAGAGTTTACATTTCATCACGAGTCTCTCCCAGCTTCTCAACATCATCCTCTGAAATCATGGAAAAGAACAGGTTCAAGATTGGGCAGACTTCTCAGTACCAATGATTCTCCTATTATTATTGACCAGCAGTCCAAGGGCAAAAGAATCAGGCAAGCTGTGGACTCATCTGCACAACCTGAGGATCATGATGTTCAAACTCAGGCTTAACTCAAAAAACAAAAATCTGAAATGGAAAAGGTAGGGGTGGCCAGCCTTGAATGGCCCCACCCTGATAAATGTTAGCTCTGGTGTGGAATTGTAGAGGGTTGGGTGGGCCCTCTACAATTTCCCAAATCAGAGAGCTTAAGAAAGCTCATCACCCCAATTTTATCTTTCTTTCAGAAACAAAAAAACCAAATGCCTTTGTTAAGTCTGTATGTAATAAGTTAGGTTTTGTTAATAGGATGGCTATTGTAGACCCCTCTGGGCTTAGTGGGGGTCTTGTTTTGTTATGGGATTCTCAAGTTGTTGTTAATCAGATTATCTGTAGAAACTTCTTTATTGCTGTTAAGTTCCAGTTGCAATCCCAACCCCTTCAATGGGGTGTTTTTGTTTATCTTAGTCCTCTGAGACTGACTAGAGAATCCCAATGGGAGGAATTAATTGCTGCCAAAGCTCAATGGGG